CAATATACTTGGATATCACAAAACCTTCTATATCCCTGTTTTAAAGACATGAGGCAGAACTGTCTCAGCAGAACGGAGAGTGAAATGTCTTGTGGAAAGTCATACAGCAGTTTTATGTCAAAGGAGGAGTAAGAAAATCCAGGCCATTGCTTTGGCTGCTCTCTTGCTCCTTTTTTGCAGACATCCCTCATGGCAGTGAGGGATCTCTCTGTACAGAAGCTCACCGAAACGTCAGCATGGCTCTTTTGGGAATATACAGTATTGTCTCCTGTGCCCAACCCCAAATGTCTGAGTCATCTGAGACGGGGAATTAGTGTGTGCTCATGCTATTTAAGATGTTCATAATTCACACAGATAGGAGAGGATTCAAGTTGTGAAACATGTCTTAACCATCTGAACTTTAAGGGCTTCTATAATATAGTCCTTGTAAACTGAGATTTTGATTTAATATGATTCCTTGTGCTTTTTAGAAGAAACCTTAAGAAAAATATTACATTTCATCACGTGTACCTACCTAGTAATATGTGATTTCTAGAATATATGCAGTCCAGGACATACGTTGCTTCTGTGGCACTTAGTCTGCATCTCCCTGGGAGCCTTTGTATACGAGCAGGTGCAAACAGACTCCAGCTTGTCCTGCTGGAGCAGGGCCAGGAGCTTCAGCCCAGGGGTCACATAGCTTTGCTAGTGCAATGTGTAGACCAGAGCAGACCCGTAGATCTTCCTGAGGGCCTGCACTGAGAACAGACGTGGTGGCTGGGGCTGATGCTGTTCTGATGTAGTTACCAGCCATCTGGGCTTGACTTTAGCCAGTTTGTGGAGTGGGAAATTTCAGTGCATGCTTAGCAGGAGTCAATTAGATTTGCTTTGTATTTTGTAAGGTTGGAGAAATTTGGATTCCTGTGGAAGTGTCCATAGAAATATCCAAAATTTCTACCTGTACTACCTTGTTATGGACTTTGCTCTGGCTCTGAAACTTTGTATGTTCTTAAGAAATTTCTGTTCAGTTCATACGCACCTGAAGATACTTTCGTTAAGTGTTCGGCATAGCTTAGTGTGTATGAGATGTATTTTTGTCTGTTGTAACTGAAACAAATTAAATGTGATTTTTGATGGGCCTGCCAGATCACCTCTGTGATTTTGAGGCCATTACTTCAGTGCTGCTTAGGGCTGCTGCCAGCCCCATTACCGAATGCCAGTCATCTTCAGTGAAGACAGTTGCAAAGCCACTTTTTTTTTTCACATGCTGATGACATGGGTCTGTCTGGGGAAAAAACAGCACCATTTATTATCAGAAACTCTCTGTTTAATTATAAAAGTCATTTAGTTCATTCATCTCTTTTGTGACTAGAATATATGCCATGAAAAGTAATTGCTTTAATTAATAATAGATTACGGTCTTTAATGTTCCAAAGAATATCTATATGACATATATTTCTAGATGAAATTCAGATATATTTTTAATGTACATTTGTTGTTATTTCAGTTAGGACTTTTTTTCTCACTAAAAATTCCTGACAGTCTGTACAACCTGGTAAAGTAATCACGATGCTGTGAGGCTGATTCTTCCTTAACGCCTGCCACTTCTGGTCTCCTGAAAAAGCCTGTGAAAATAAAGGCTGTGAAATTCATGCTTCAGAATCACACAGTAAGTTTTCTTACTATTTTAAAATCCATTATGTGTAGTAAATTTTGTAGCACACAACTCATATGTTTGTGTTTTGACAGAGTGAACACTTCCCTTTCTTGAGTGTCAGTGACCTCAGGTGATGGACAGTGTTCTTCACTGCTCTCACTCATCTTCTCATGTTAGACTTAGGTAAGGTCCTTCTCTTGTGTCCCTGAGAGACCTTGCTGTCTTGTGTAGTACTATCAATTTTAAGGTTACTAAACAGATCAAACAGCAGCTTAATCGTACAGTGACTATGTTGGTATTTCAATCACTGCCTATCAATTTTTGAAATTTATGGCATTAAGCAATAACATTGTAGTTGTTTGCTGACTTCTCTGGAAGAAATAAGCAAGATGAGTTTATTTTTTTCTTTGCACAGAAGCACTTTTGGTATTAACTGTGTGAGGATTTACAACATTAAGTGCCTGAGTTAAGTAGTTTGCATTTCCAGGTGGCATATTGATTATGCCAGACTCTTCCAGCTTCTAGTAGAAGGGCTTTTTATTTCACTTCTTTGTAAAAGTTCCCAATATACAAAGACCCTCCAAGTTTTAATAAATATTGCTATGAGTTTTCTAGTTCAACCGTCGATACTTACACGTGTACTTGGGACTACCTTTTGAGTAGTCCTTTGGAAATCAGAGCTATTAGACACATGTGAAACCCAGTCCATGCTCTGATAGCTAGGTGGGATAAAGGACTTGGTCACTCTGAATCCAGGCACTGCCCTTGACCACCGGAGTAGATTACAGGACTCTGTCTTCATGATTAGCTCTCTGTTGTCTAAATGTGGAAGGCTGGTCTTGTCAAAATGAACACTGACACAAATTGTAGGCTAAAGAAGCTGATGGTGAAGAACACAGAATGTCTCAAATGGCCTCTGTTCTCATCAGAGGCCCCGTTCGGAGTTGTGGGCTTCTGTCTGCCTTACAGACTGCTGTCGTGAAGATGGAGCATAGTTACAGGATGGGGGGTAATGGCTTTGAACTGACAGAGGTTATATTTTTATTAGATATTAGGAAGAAATTCTTCACTGTGAGAGTAGTGGGACACTGGAACAGATTGGCCAGAGACATTATGGGTATGCCCTCCCTGGAACTGTTCAAGGCCAGGTTGGATGGGGATTTGAGCAACCTGGTCTAGTGGGAGGTGTCCCTACCCATGGCAAAGGGGTTGGACTAGTTGATCTTGAAGGTCCCTTCCAACCCAAACCATTCTGTTCTTCTGTGATGATTCTGTGGATGTTCATAGGTGTTCCAAGGGGGGCCACTGATGAGGGCCTTCAAAAATACGTTCTTTTGTGTACTGATTTCCAGCCCTTATGAACGGACTTAACTTGGCAGCGTGTTTTCAGAGGAGAGCAACACAGTTATAAGCCAGGTGTATTTGTTAGTTCCCTAGGTGGGTACCTGTATGTCTACTGGTGAAAAGTGCTAAAAACAGTTAACTTTGAGGCAAGACCAAACTACATTTATCAGCGTTTTCTTCAAGAATGGCAACTGTGAGCTGGACCTGTGTTTAATTGCAGTTAAACTGCTTTCAGTACTAGCTCACTGTTGGATAACATAAGCAGTAGGTGCATTTTTGTCATATAAAGTGGGAAAGAAATAGTTTGACCGAAAAATTGACAAAATTAAGATGGAATTTCTGGATGAGGGTTAAGTTATTGTTGGATGTATAAATGTTTTCTGAGATTAGCTGAATGCAGTAAATTCCAAATATTTACATTTTAAGCAATGTGCTGCTGGAGTGACCAGCAAATTTATCTGGAGAAGGAAAGAACATTAATATAGGTATTTACTTCAAAATGCACTTTGTTTTCTGTTTAATTGCTTTAACCTGATCTGTATATAATTAGACTTTGAATTCCTTATGTGCTTCAGGTTGTGTTTTTAATAATATTTTTGTATTTAGAGTTGCATCACTTTGGCCAAGATTCTTAGTCCAAGATTTCGAAAGTAAACTGAATATTCTTTCATGTGAAGTATGTAGTAATCAAAACTAATACAAAAACACAAGTAATATTTAAATAAAAGTTTTTACTAAGATAAATACATTTTAATAAACATTTTTTCTACACTACCAAAAGGAGTAGATCTAAGCTGTAGAAAATACCTTCAGGAGGTATTCAGCATGATCTGTCAGTGTCCTGTACTTACAGGTACATCCAGTCACACTCGTGCCAAACCTCTCTGAGTGAATCAGGTTTAAACCACCATTGCTGTAAGCCACAAGCAAATCCATTGTAACTTATGAGTAGGCATCTCTTTTCTTTGAAAAGAACATAATTACAATGTGTATGCACAGTTAGAATTGTAAAAAATGAATGTTTTACCATGACAGTTCTGTTTAGGATATTTCTTCCATTCCATTTGACTACTGTACTGATGAATAGGACATGGATGTGGCTTTGCACAGAAATGTTGAAAGAAATGTATTGGTAGTAATTTGTGTTGCTTTTCTAAAGCTTAAAAAATATTTTATTAATAGGGCACCACTGTATAGGAACCTAATTGTATATTCCCTCTTCACTGCCTATAATGAATTTTAAAACAGAAGTAGCACATAAGATTTCTCCTTATTGCTTTTCCATGACTGACTGGTTTGTCATTAAAATGTTGGTCCTAACTGACGTCAGACATTCTGGTAGTTCTTCAGTCTTCTCAGCTTTTTAAAAAAGTTTGCTTGACATTCTACTTTCAGGAAGGGGTTCATCTTGAATTTGGATGTGTTTGGTGTCTGTGGAGACTGTCTTGATATGCAGTGCCCTGGATGAGATGGAGTATTACTTTTGCTGTCTTGTGATAATTCAGGTTTCTCCTGAGAACCCTCTAAATTGCAATTGAGCCCAAATTCTGCATGGAGCAGTATCCCAATGACTCTGTTAGCCTGTATGCTAGTGTGGGACAATATCAGTATGGGACTCTTTGTAAATGAATGTTCTTTTGTTGTTTTTTTTTTCTCAATGAGAAAAATCTGATAAATGATTAAAAGGAGAATAGCATCAGGCTATGCAACATGTGTACAAATAGCTTAACTCCTGGGAGGGTGAGAGGAAGCTGATGGCTAGATCAAGCAAAGAGATTGGGAGCACAGAAACAAAAAAAATGGATTAATAGTCTGGAATTACTGTGAGTAACTGGAAGAGGACACAAGGGTCCAGGAATTAGAAATAAAAAGACTGACTCCAGATGAAAGCAGCAGGAGAGGATGGCAGAGGAGGCAGGCAAACATGGACAGGATGGGATTTTCCCAAAGTCCACTAGATCCTATTACTGCCAGCAAGTAGTTCTGAAATCTAGTATAAAGTATCTCACCCTTTGGCTCTGCTGCACATTCAGGATGGAAGTCACAGATTTGGTCAGTTACTTGGCTAGTTTAAGGAAGTTCTTGAACATAGATTGCCATTTGAAGGCTCTGTAGCTATGGCTGACCAGGGAAGCAGCATGAAATTATTGAAAGTATTTCCTTTGCTTTTAAAAAAACAAACAAACAAATAAAACAAAAAAAAAAAAAACACCTCAGGAAAACTGGGCACAAATGCCCTGTATTGAAGGGAGGCAGTTCAGGTCACAGAGCCAGGCATTCAGAACTGAGGAAGTGCTGTCGCAGGGATTGCCTCTGCGGTGTTCCTCTCTTCTCCATGCAAATATTTACGTTGTGATGAGGCAGTTTTAATTGCAGGATCACAGTAAGTTCTCTGAGGATATGTGCCTCTTTCAGTTCAGATGTGTCATCCTAGTTTAATGAGAAACTACCGAGTATCTTGATTTCTTTTTTTTTCCTCCTTTCTGTTTTGTCATCTGGATTTATATGTTAGTCAACACTTTGCTTTCTCTTGTGATGTTTTTCTTCCTGGACTTTTTTCTTCTTGGCCTTTTCTGTCTTTGTTATTGTTGTACTGGTGTATGTGATGTGTTCTTTGAGGTGACCCTAAAGATAAGGGGCTGGAATTAGACCCATTTTACAGGTGGGCATATGAAGAGTAGAAATTCAACTGTAAAGCTTATGCTAACTTTGCACAACCAGTTTGACACACACAAGACTCCTCTTAACTTCAGCTGCAACTTAGCTTGCCAGACTTTGCCAATGAAGAGAGAAGGGAGAGAAGCCCTATAGCAAAGAACTCTTTAAAGAACATAAATTAAATTCCTACTCTGAATTACTCTCGAGGGGAATCTTCATGCAAGAGGCAAGCTACCCTCATTAAGGGTTTGAAGATAAGTAGCTTGAGTACCATCCTCATGCAAATTGCCATTTCTAAAAAGTTGTTTGTAGTTGCTTGTTCAGGGTCATGACAAAGCAAAAATAATCCAGTTTCCAGGCTTTCAGAGACAATCACTTTTTTTCCCCTACCCACAACATCTTGTTTCCTTTTACTCTGAGTTCACAATTTAGTCTAAATTTCACCTTTTGAAACAAATGAGGTAATAGAGACACACAAATAATGCAAACACAGTCCAAATCTATTTCCACAGCTTTTTTGTTCTGTGTACTAAGTAGACCAGAGGTAGAAAAAAAATAGCATAGGGTAATAAAAGATTGTGATTTAAACATCATACTGCAAGTAAATGTGAAGGGTAATTTCTTGTTATAGTTTTAACATTTTCTCACTGTTGGATTTTTGTATGTGGATATTATTCTAGAATACTGAACAAATGCTATCAGATTAACAGAGAAAATAGAAATATGAAAAGAAGAAAGATGTGAAATGCAGAGACATGCCACTCTCAGATACAAGTTGTTTGCAAGCAACAATTTGTCTTCTTTGTTTAAAGCTCAGGAAAAACATGTCAAACCTCAGGTTTTTGTTCCTGTAGGTCATATGAAAGCTCCCATGGTGTCAGTGAGATTTTTCTATAAAAGACTAAGAGACTGACCCTTCTGAACAGCAGTGTGAATACGATGCAATGCTTTTACTGTGTTTTTTTGGTTTCTTTTCCTGCAGGTGAAAATGAGGATGAGTTTGAGAATTTCATGCTTCCCCTCGCCATTTCCTTTGAAAGCGTGACTCAGATACTCAACAGTAGTTCTGAAGAAGAAGCAGCAAAGGTAGGTGTATTTCAGTGACTGGGAAAGAAATTATTGATGGGAAAAACTCCTAGTGGGGCAAGCCTTTAACAAGCAGCCTGTCATCTCTTCTGTCTGTCTTGGCACATATATACCTGTATTCTTATATCTCTATTTATATCTGTATGCATTTATACAGTCAGGAATGTAGACAGTAGAGATACAAAGGCAACAAATTACTATCCTAAACAAACTTTGTAGAAAGATTTTGTAAAGGCCTTGGGATTTTTTAGTGCTTTGCAGATCAAGTGACCCCATTTATAAATAAAAGGACAAATTTGTTTTCAGTGATAGCTTATCAGTTTCATGTGTAGTATTTCCCTTTGCTGTGCACGTATCCTGTTTGTGTATATTAACATATTTATTTGGGGGTATGAGGAGACATGTTGTAACACACTTGATAAAACACTGCAGCTTTAAAGTATTTTTTCAAACAAGAATTTATTATATAAATCAAGACTTTATTAAATGGCTGGGCATATATGTATAAATAGGAACTGGTCTTGAAGCATTGCACCCTTAAACTGAACAAAGTGATTAGGATAACTGATAGCTAAATAAGGTTTTTATGTGCCTGTGGGAGCCATATTAGGATTGATTTGACAAGTCAGTTCAGCTGTGGCAACAGTCATAATATCTAACACAACATTATGTTTTATTAGTAAAATCCTTAAGTGTAGCAAGCTGTTTGTGTCAGAACAACAGTATATTTTAGGGAAGAAAAAGACTTGCTAGACAGAAGCTTGCATCATCAGGAATGATAGTAAATTAGAGAACTATTGCATTAAAGAGATCCCCTTCTGCTGTCACTGGATAAATAGTTAACAATGCACACTGGAGTGCTCGCTTCAGCTATGCGGGGTCATTTTGAAGAAATCTTAACAACAGTTTTTAATTTCAGATTTTAAAATACGATGGAAACTTAAATACTATATCATCTTATTTATTCACTTCCTTTCATAAGAAAATAAACAGACTAGAAATATTTAGGAAATAATTTGTCTGCAGTACATCTCTGACATGAGCAGGAGATGCATAGTTCCCAATAATCGCTTGAATTAAGCTAATATTTTTTTTTAAATAGTACTTAAGATGATTTCAACAATTACTTAATTCTAGTTGTTGCTTTATGTATTTAATTTTAACCATTTTTCATTTGTTAAATAGAGGCAGTTCATCTATCTTGGATTCATCTCATATTTTGAAGTTATAAATCCTAAAAATTAGAGCACAGAGGTAATTTGATAGAATTACCCTTTCTGTAGGAAAGTCCTGTATTTTCTTCATGTGAGGATTCAGTTTATTAAAATAATTTTACCGTTGTCCCGTCTGGTTCACTTGAAAGTATCTTAGTAGAGAAATTTCAATGGAGTGCCAGTGATATATTCCTAAACTAGCAAGTTCTTAACGACCCTGGAAAGTGACTGCTTGATTACACTTTAACGGTATTTGCAAATAAAATCACAAGTAATTAAGGGGAAATCTCCAGGCTTTTGAGCAAGTTTGATGCATGATAACTGCCTGATTCAGCTTCATCTAGAGTAATGCTGTGTAGACAAGAGCTACTGAGATCAATAGCAACATAATGATAGTGGCAGAATTAAGTGAGTAACCTGAGAACTGTGTCTTCAAAATGCATGCAGCTGCCACCAGCCAGGGCCACACAGTGCACTCCGTGCTTCCGTCCTAAATGTTCATCAAAAGACGCCCTGCAGGAAAATGGAGTTAGATGCTCTTTATTGCTGATCGTGTCTCTTGCCACATTTATCAGGGAAATTGGATTAGCAGTTGGCAGCTGCAGGTAGACAAGGTTCTGCAGTGATTAAATATGCAGCTTGGCTGCATTTGTTGTGACAGACCTTTAGTAAATTCTACTGTAAGCACCATCTGTCTAATTTGTATAAAGAAAACTTGGTGCTTTAAGCTATTGATAAAGAACTAAATCTGTTGCTTTATCATAAACCAAACTTTTGCTCTAAATTCTCTTAAACATAATTTATTAGGTTAAAGTTATTTTTTCTATCATGATGAATAAATAATACATGCAAAAGTGCTTTCAGGTACTTCATTTTGCAAGTACTGAAAACAAAAACAATTCAGTTCTTCAACAAAATGCTTAGTATTCTGATCCACAGGGAGATGACACTGTTAAAATATCACTATGAAAATGGTCCAGGACTGCCAAATTCATTTAATTTGTGGTTTTCACTAGGATTTTCTAACTGGCTAGGGTTTTTTTAGGGTTTTAATATATCTGAAATACGCCATTGAAAAACAGTCGCAACAAGGGAGCTCTTTCTTTTTAAAATACATTTGTAATCATTACATCTGCATACAAAGCATATGTTTAGCTTTCTTTTCCAGAGAGATCAAATATAATTGAAGATGACTTAACTAATTATGCGCTTTGCTTTCATTTTTACTACTTTTTTTTTTTTTTTGGCTACTTCCTTCTTCACGTTTTTATATTAATGGGAAAAATGTCCTGTATTAAAACAGTGGCTAGTTTTCTTCTCTAAATTTCAAGGCATCTCTTGACAATCTGGTTAAGTAATATATTGACTGGGTACCTGCAATCTCAGTAGTACTTTGTTTATACTTGTGACATTATCAGATTTGCTAGAAACGCATAAAAAAACCCAAGGATCTGAGGAAAAAGCAGTTAAATATCAACAAGCTATCTTTAGCTGGTTTGTAGAAACTCCATGCTGTTAAATTATTTAAAATCCTTGATTTTCAGCTTGCACACATTAAAAGTTTTCACACTAAGTGCCAAATGTTGCAAACAGCACTTTAACAGAATGATTTTGCTTTGATCCCTGTAGCAGTTCCTGAATAATTTATCACAGGTTATTGCCTTAATTCTGGAGAGGGATAGAGCAATAAAGGCAGATGAAAACACTCCAGTTGAAACACCTTGGGGCCTGCTCATTCCTCTGACACGGCTCTTTTGTTGGAACTATTTAGAGGTTATTAAGACGTGTCTCCAGAATTAAGAGTATGCTGTAAGGATGAAGACAGCCATCTTAATTCTAAAGACAAAGCGCAATGACCCTTCACCTTTTTTTTTCTTTTGTTGTTATTATATAGTAGAATTATGAGGGTAATATTATAGCTGCACCCAGTAGTGCCACTATAGTTAAGGGTCTGTCAGACTTTCCATTACAAGCCCCGTTTTGGGGGTGGGTGGTGTGAGTAGTGTTGTCTGTTTTAAATTGCGTTAGTCAGACACTTGGCACGTGTTGGCAAGTCATGGAGGCTTTTTCCATGAATATTTAAATCTTCAGTTCCTTTCCTTTGAAATAGCCATTGAAAAATCTTCTTCAGGACTTTGACAAAAAAATTACTTGAATTTATTTTTTAAACGGCTTTGCTTTAATTAATCCTAAGTAAACTTATCACTGACATTCAGGGAAGAGTGTCTCCAAACAGAAATTTTAACCAAATTATTTCAGTAGCAAGAAAAGTAATGTATAAACCCACGTACTATCACTGACAAGCTCCTCTTGCCATGTTTCTTGTATTTACTGGTCTTCACTTTTCATCTTACTCCTTTTGCACTTACTGGTGTTGTTATGAGCTGTAACTTTGCGCAGAAATGGCTGGTGCTCGGTTGTGAATGAAGCAGTAGCTTCGCGTATTCCTCAAATTACTCTGTTATTTTTGCAAGGTACTTTGGATCCCACAGGATGATAGACAAAAAGTAGATGTATAAGTGTATAATGCTATTTATCATTAATAAATTTTATTCACCTAAGTGCTATTTGAAGAGTTGTAATGGACCAAAACTAGACTGTCTTGGGATCTTAGGGTTGGGGGTGGGGGCAGGTGTGGAGGCTTGTTTTAAAATGTGACTTAAGCAAGCATGGAATCTAGGGTGACTTTTGCTCCTATTAGAGTGTAAAGGTATTTTTACCAGTGACTTAAAATGGATTAAGATTTATCTCAGGGTTCTGCAGGCTGTTATATAGGCTGTTCAGATGTTACCAACTGTGGACAGCGTTATTTTATAAAGTTGAATTCTCATGGATAATACCTAAATCACCAAGTTTGCTGGGATTTTACAGGACAAGAGTAGTATGGCACCTTGTAGACTGAAGTCACTTATTAAGAATAGTGCGGTTAACGGTGTGGAGGTTTTAACAACAAAACCTGAATTTCAAGAACAGAAAACCAAGAATCATAGTTTAATGTAGTAGTTGTTCTCCTTTCTTTAGAATTGAAGGTCAAACGGTGTCTGAAATAGCCTGGTGTCTGCGTAGGTTCCCAGAAACGTGCGATTGTACTTTAAAGAAAGTTGCACGTCTGCTTTTATTAATAATGTTTAAAGTCTCACAACCAAACTTTTTTTAAACACGTTTGCAAAAGAGTGTTTTCTTAACAACCAGTTGTTTCTATAAAGACAGAATAAGCCTGTTAGAGGAATGTGGGTTTGGCTGGTTGTCATGTTCTAATCCACGTTCTGGAGACCACAGTAGGATGGTGAGCTCTTTCTCTCTGAGCGCATCCTCACACAAAGGCAAGTGTGCGTCTTGCCAGGGGCTGTAGCTTCTCTTCTTCCCTGCTCCAGCCTTTCCTTTGTGCAGTCTTGCTTGTCTCCTTTTTTGTGGCTAGAGTGGGCAAAGGGACCAAAATTAGTTGCGAAGATTTCCACTTCCTTTTATATATTGTTGCACCTCTGTATCCCTTCAGAAGGAGTACGAAACATCACTGCTGAGTCTTTTTAATTCTTTATGTTTTGGCCCCTGTGTCTGCTGAACAGTTATTTTCCGTGTGACAAAACAGCACACAAAGTATGAAAATACAGATTAATATAAAGTAACAATTTTATATTGCATCTTCTCAGTATTGAACACTTCCTCTCTAGTGATTTCAAAGTCCCATTAAACTTAATGAGAGTTGAGACCTCTGAGCATCTTGCAAGTTCAGGCCATTTCAATGCACAACAGAAAGGAAATGCAAATATTAAAATACTCCTAGCAACCTCACCAGCATTCTGCAGAGAACTCAGTTTATCCTTGGATAAATCTGTGTATGTGCTGTCCAAGTCAGTTGACCTAATGGCTCTGTATATGAAAAGTAGGAATTAGCCCTTGTGTAAGATTACGTTTAGCAGTTTAACAAGGCATCAGCCATTGTTTGCTCTTTATGTGAGCAGTTAAACTTAATATGTCAATCTTATCTTTTGTATTTCTCAACACTATAAATATTAGTGTTAGCACCAAGTGGTACATTATTGAAAACTCTGGTTTTAAAGAAAGAACCCCTTAATGTGTTGGTTTTGTTTTTTTTTTTTATCATGCTTCTATGATTATTTTTGTTACCAGACTCTGCAGTACTGTGATACTTTTATTAGGAAAAAAAAAAAAAAACCACAAACCCCACCTGCACACAGATAAAATTTATTAAAACTATTTAATTATCAAAAAAGAATATTTGTCTAAGTAGATTGAAAAGTTTGTTTATATTATTAAAATATTTTTCATTCACTGCTGTTTCTTATTGGTGTCTATTAATTATGCTGAAAACATCCCTTTAGTGGGGCTAATTATCTATGCATAAAATGTTGCTTGCTTTTGAGCTGGAAAGATTCTGAAGCCACACTTCATTAAAAGGGAAAAAAATTGTGTCTCAGAACTAACTTTAATAGAGGTAGAGATTTGCATGGTCTTTGTAAACAAAAAAGTTGCATTTTGCAGAAACCTAACTTGGAAAACTACTTAAAAAAAAAAAACAAAACAGTACAATGAGATTCTCAGTGCAACCTTAATTGCTGCTTGTTATGAGTATCCGTTAGTCTTACACCTCACTCAAAATATTAGAAACTTAAATTAACATTTTATTGTTTTTATTACTACTTTAAATATATTAATGCAGGAAGCACTTTTAAACTTTAACATACAGTATTCATATATTATGTTTTAATTTGCATTATACATTAGGATAGCATAGCAAATAATCAAAAGCATTTCCTAAGCATTTTGCTAGTGTTATCACCATAAAACTTTTTGAAATCCTGTTTGTTAAAAGAACCTTTGTGGGTTTTTTTTAAAAAAAAAAAATAAAAAAAAATAAAAAATTTGAGCGAGACATTTAAACTAATGAATCAAAATCAGATATGTGGTCATTATTGGCTGATTATTACTCCATCTGCTCGGTGCTAACGTGAAAATCAATTACTGTGTCTCTTTCCCACTGACAGCGTATGTTGATCGGGCTGGCAAGGGATCTTCGAGGGATTGCCCTTGCACTGAACACAAAGACCAGCTACACCATGCTGTTTGACTGGATGTATCCTTATTACACGATGACAATACCAGCTCTGTGCACAGAGGGAGACCAGGCCCCTTGCATTAGTTTAATAGTATGGCACAGTGGGAAGAGGAAACAAAGCTAAATGAACTAATGTGTAATCAGCTAAAATTACAGCACAATGGCAACCATGCAGTTAACTGGGAAGGACCACAGAGAGGTCACTTTTTTGTTGTGTCACACTACTAATCTAGAAAACATATCCAAGTGGTTTTCTTCCCGTCAGAAACCCCTCATCCCTTCATTGGGGAAAAAAAAAAAAAAAAAAAGCTGTCTTTTACACCAAGCACAATGTACTTACATTGGGTTTAACATCAAAAGTGGTTAAAAAATAGCGTACAAGTGCTATCTGGGGAGATTTCTCTCTCTGGTATGAATCATGTCTTTAATTTAGTCAGTTACTTTCTATTTATGTCAGCTCTATTAATATCACAACACCTGCAGTCTCTTGATCCAGAAGCAAATGGACATCTGAAAACAACATCAAAATCTTTAGATCGTAGTTTTCTTCAGTAAGTAATGATAATGGAACTCTATTTGGTTTAAGTGTTGTATGCATTTTTATGCCGACAAATACAATAATACTCATGGGTATTTTCTTAATATTATAGAGAAATGTTTTGTATTTTTACAAATAGAGTAGCTGTAATTCTCTGTTCAGGCACACAGTCATATTCGTAACAAACTGCTGAAATACATTGGTGAAGTAGCTGTGAAAATATTTATTTCATAATTTGGATCACTGTGGAAGTTAAGTATGTATCTTATGGACAGAAAAAGATAACATTTGAGTAGAATTACATGCTTTACTAGAAATCAAGCTTTTAAAAATATTTTTAAGTAAATACTAATAATTTTCCTGGTTAAGAGAGAGGAATGAATGCATCGTTACCAAATTGCAGCTAGGAAATCAGCCTTTAAGAACTGAAGGGCTGTACAGCAGAACTAGGTATGATCTGATTGACATCCTTGTGAGCTGGGTGCTGGGATCCTGGTGACCACGCAGGTAAGCCCTGTTTAAGACCTTCACAAGCCTGCAGTGATTCCTTGTGCAGGGTCAGCTTGCAAAAAGTCCAAAACGTAAAGCTGTGTAATCATCATTTCTCTTAAAATCAGTGGAAAGCATCAGTTCTATTCAGTTAAATTCAGTTTTAAAGGACTAGTGGGAAAAAAAAAATCAGCAAAACCAACAAACAAAAAAAGCACCATGACCACCAAAAACAAAAACCAAACTACTGAAGCCAGACTGTGAATTAGCATCTCATTTTCTAATGGGCACCACTGGGTACATTTAACTTCATTAGTATTGTTTGTGCTTGTGTTGCCCTAAAATTTAATAATAAAATCAGGAAGATGCGTGAAAGAAGATCAGTGCTGCTTCCATTTCAGATTCTTTTTAGTTTGTTTTTGCTGGTACAGCACGAATATCCTGCTCTTTTCCTGTGCAGAACTGCAGATCTGTGTTTGTAGGAGGAGGGATAAGAGACTTACCTCCTCTCCATTTGAAAGAAATGGATTCATCCACGGAGGTGGATTTTTGTACAGGGATCCAGAATATGTAATCCTCAGTACCCTTTCCTGATTTCTTTTTTAAAATTCATTTACTCCTTTCAATTTCTGAATTAAGTTTATTTCCAACAAATAAAAACAGCCTCCAAGTTTGGGATTTCATTATGCTATTTTAACAATAAAAATAGATTGAAATGTAGCTTTGTGTAGGATTCGGAGCTCAGGCCTTCTCAGTTTCTTTTCCTTTGCACAGGTTCAGAATTTTTTTTTCTTCCTCATCTTTGTCTATAAAGGGTAAGTGCCTGCTTCCTTCCAGTGGATTTCACCTCATTTGGCTGAGTCCAGCTTCATCTAGGTATTGATCCAAAGCATTATAGCAGAATAAGCTGCTATTACTGCAACTCTTATTTACTGTATATGAGACAAAGGTAAATGGGAGGAAAAGGGAGAGTTAGGTGCCAGTTTTATCATATAAAGTTTAAATGACTTTTGATTAACATATTTCTTTTGTAGTTTCAAATATATCATCAGAAAATTGTTGTAATAGGAAAGGAAAGCTGGTTTTGAAGCAGATCTTAGTCTATTTGAGGCCGTAGTATTTCAGTATTGAAAATGGCAAATACAGAATATTAGCCAAAATAAATCTGATTTACTTGCATTTGTTCAATAAATAAAAAATACAAAAGGGCAAGGGATAAAAGGTTACGCTTTTAATATACCATAAGATGATGTTTATTCTGTACTGACAACTCTCCGAAAGAGTTACTTGTAAATTCCTGATAGGATACTCTATGGATAAACTTTTCTAGTGATTGCAGGAAATATTTTGGGTCTAAGCCCTGTCCATATCAAAACAAATTACATTCAATAAATCTCTCACCTGAGAGATTCTTCTCTTTTTTCTGATCTCAATGTTTAGGATTTAAGTTTTGTCCAGTAGATGGCAAAAATGAGCAGAAAGAATTTCTTTGAAGTCCTCTTGGTTCTGGGAGGGGTTGGGGGAAAGGCACGGGGGACACTGTTGTATCTTGTATTTTACCATGATGATTGAGTTATTAGACTCCTGGTTTAGAGGTGAGTCGTCAGGTACGCTGAAGCTGCGCGAGATTGCCAAATAAGGCTGGTTTGTAGCAGGCTTGCTTATACTAATCGAGTTTCTCTAGCAAATCGGGCTCCTTGGAAAAAGGCCAAAGGCTTTTCATAATTGTATTGACAAGAAAATGAATATGATAAATGGTGTTCATTCAGCTGAGACAAGATTTATAGTTTTCCTCTGGCAAGGGGTGAAGAAAAAATACTTATAATAATAGTAGAATTGGTTTTAAAGTTGTATTAGGTGATCTCTCAAAAGACTTCATTAAAATATTTCCAAATATTTTAAGCAGCTTCAGGTGTTAACTATAGCATCTTCCCAAAGTATCTAGTAATGAAAGATGAAGAAAAACATCACACAAACAAACAAATAAACCAAAACAAAACAATGGCAAAAAAAAGCGCCAAAACCCTGGATATGAAAGTCATTTATTCTTCCTGAAATATTGATATGTCAAGCTGTCAATGACAATTACAGTACCACAGCTTTGGAAAGTTTATTTACCTTTTGTATTCATAACATGTGAACTGTGTAATTTGCAGGTCAGTCCTGAACATGCTGGTGTGGCCTGAAAAATCCCGTACACTAGTTTGAGTAGAATCCCAACCTGTTTTTCTTACCAGTGACAATTCTCCTTACGTATTTCGTTCTGCTGTTTGCTTCAAGACTGTCTGGATAGCATGTTGAACGATTAATCTCTTTTCTTCCTTACTAACACCAGACTGTGGTCTATGGTCTTGGTGTTGCAGTCAGATATGTCCATGGAGTTTGACTTGTGAGTTCAGGGCAGAACTCTTTGTTACTTTCATTTGGTGGTTTCTACACTTAGGTGGTAACCCATCAGCAATTTTTCCTGGGTTCCTCCCAGTTGATTCTTGGTATGTTTGATGACATCTGTTGTCTCTAAAAGAAAAAGGTTGCAGTAAGAAAACAGGTTGCAACAATTAAATTACTAGGTTGAGTTGCAGTCGGCTAGATAGTGCACAACACGTATGCATGAGTGCATGAAATTGCCTGTATAAAAATACCTGTGTGTATTGTTTCATAAACACTGAGTTTAAAGAAGAGTGATCTGCCATTTAGGTGTTGTATGTAGCAGCCGTTTAAAAGTTCCAGCTGACCTAGATAGTCAGATATCTGATCCTGTGCTGCTTCAGATGTACACCACTAGAACAAGCAAAACAATCTTGCCACCAAACTACCATTGTTGCATATTTATCCAAATTCATACCATATTTCTTAATATCTTAATAAAATAAAATTACATACAGTGATAAGATGGCTTGCTCCAAATGATTGTATTTTTGAAGAACTGAGGTTTTAGTTTCTGTGTTTTAAGGATTCAGAATTGGCTACAAACTTGGAAGAGCCAAACGAACGGCTTTAGAGATTGATTTTTCCCTAGTCACAAGAAAAGATGGGAACGTGTTCTCATGAAACAAGGCTACCTGATCACTAATGTGTTTGTAATAGCTGTTATTGCCAGTGCATTGATTCAAACCTCACTACCAATTTTTGCAGTTTTAATTCCTTTGAGCTTGAACTGACTGGTCAGGGTAGTTCATGACTTAGCCAGATTCCTTGAACCTTGTTGTTAGAATATTATTTGTAAGTGGTTTTAAAACCAATTTATTTAACTTTATTTGGTTTATAAAAGAAGTAATAAATTGCCAAAGCTTTTCTGTTGACCCTGTGTTTTATAAAATTTGGCTGTAGTTTCCAGTCTTTCCTTATGATTAATATGAGCTCAGTGCTTAAGCTTCTAAACTAAGAGAGCTAATCATATTGGATGTATCGGCAGCCATTGATTCTGCTGACTTACATTTTGGTTGTAGGACTTGCCCATTGGGTTACTCTCTTCACCATGAAGTCTGAAAAGGCAATTGTTTTCTACCCCAGGAAATTCCACAGTGGGGCTTTGCACCACTGCACCGTCTCCCTTTTGTGTGCATGGGGCTACTGGGGAGGCCAAGGAAGAGGCCTGATTTAGGAGAACTAATAGCCCAGCTCACTTCTGCACCTTACATGAATTCTGCTGCATTTTGAGGATATTTACCGTCCTCCATTGAGAGTGTGAGCTGGATTGGAAGCCCACCTCAGAAAAAATGGAATTGGCATTAGTGATTTTTTAAAGGTGTGAAGTGGCATAGATCATCTGTGTGCTTTGAGGGGATTCTAGGTAAGTTAGATTTGAATTTAAATCCCAGCTTAAAACTGGATAACTCTCCATGCTATCTTTAACTCTAGTTTGTTTGATTTAAAATGTAAAGAACCCCATAAAGGAGCAAGAAGCAAGGTCTAGAAGTATATTCCACGTGTCAGGCTCTTCCACTATATATAGTTTATGCCTGCAGTGCCTCAAGCAGCTGGCAGCAAAAATGCACTAGTCTTGAGATGCCTCAGCCAGGCATGGGTAGCCAGAATGCCTTCCATCTGTCTGCACAGCACTGTCATCCATCAGCAAGCTCTGTCTGACGGCTTCAGAAGAGCTGTATCAAACTGAGGCACGGCTGTGTCTACAGATCCTGGAAGCGTGTAAATCTTTATGTATTTTGGACTTCTATTTCACAATCCCATGTTGAGTGCTTGGCCTGTATTATACTTCATAAGATTCACAGTAGTTGCCTTTATTGTCTGAATGGGCAATAGTGTTCTCATATGGATAGTCACTGTTTCTTCTGTGGTTAAATAAAGCAAAATTATATGACATGGAACAAAGTTAAAAATGAAAAATAAGTTTATTATTAAACAAAACAATTGAGTAGATGAGTTAGATCATGTTTTAATAGCAAATCGTATTGTTAAAATCTCTTGGTTCAATATAAAAGAACTGTTTAGTTCTTTGGCACTCGAGCTATGGTACCTCATTTTCACTTACCAGTCTGCATTCTTATCCAAATAAACTCTTTTTTTTCAGCACATTGGGAAAAGTAGGGGTCAGCTTTGTATCAAATCGTTGCATGAAATATTTTGATACAGTCAGTAACTCATAAGATTTTTTTTTTTTAAGTTACATGGCAGAGTCTGCTAAACTTATTTTTTCTGTATTGCATCCTTTAAAGTCCTGCTTTAAAAGAACAGATGTCTCTTGGGTGCTGATCACAGAATCACAGAATGTTAGGGGTTGGAAGGGACCTGCAGAGATCATTGAGTCCAACCCCCCTGCCAGAGCAGGACCATCCAGTCTAGGGCAGGTCACGCAACAGCTCTCCTAAAAGAGTTCTTAGAATTTTAACTTTGCTGGTCTCCCACACAGAGTTTGGCTGAATTCTTTTCCTGAATGCTCTGGAAACAACTCCATACAATCAAATTGTTCTAATATAGCAAATACAGTATCTATAAAGTGGCACTGAAATGTGGGGGCCAGGACATGCTAATATGAAAATTTGTGTTGGTTTTAAATTAAATTGCCATTTTTGACTTGGGCCATTCATTAAAAATCCAAGCTTGTTTTACAATAGGTACTTACAGGTTAGCTTCACACACACAAACTGCTTCCCTTTTCCTTTATTACAGCTCTGGTGCGTTAACTATTTCCCACTCAACCACTGAAGCTGCCAAAGGATTTCATCTTCTAAGCAGAGACTTGCTTAAATGTGTAGGTTCTGGCAGGGCGTGTGTCAGAATGAGCTGGCCCACGCCCCTAATGGTGTAGTACAGTTTGAGGGGAAGTTGTTTTGCAAGGTGTATTTTATCATTATAGTCTTTAACTCAGCTTGGTGAAGATACCCTACCTACCTTTCTGTTCTGCAAAGAGGTATCAAACTGTGGCACCGTGACCCTGCGTGCACAACCTCGATCTTGAAGCTGATGGCAGAATTAACACAAAACAGGTAAGAAGCATGTGAAAATTAGCTAAGTGATGAATACTGTCATGGTACACAGTCTGTGCGTTGTCTTTCTAAGTTTTGCGTATCCTTATGCTGTCTAACTGACTTAAGACTGCTACTTCTGTATTTTGCAACAAAATTAATAAACTTGCAGTGTCATTGTATTGTTTTACCAAAATGGTAGATATTACATAATCTGCTGGTAAGGATGAATTGCAAGGATATGTGTGAGAGGCTACTGTGTCTTCATATTCAACGTTAGTGGAAGTGTGTGCTTTAACCAGGGATAAATACTGACTCTGTCATTAAATACCAGCAGATTGCTTGCTCTCAAAGCTTGCTGCAGGCTGAATTTTTGCCTTGAGCCAAGCAGCATACACATGTGCCTCTAAAGCCACAACTCCTTAGAAGTCAAGTAGATGAGGTGCTTAGGGACATGGTTCAGCGGGATCTGCTGCAGAAGTGGCCTGGTGGAGAGAGGTAAAGGTTGGACTGGATGATCTTAAAGGTCTTTTCCAATGTAAATGATTATATGATTCAACTCTTCTAGCCAAAATAGGAAGGAATGACATCTAATATTTAATACAGCAATATTTATAATCCGCATGTAGGTAACTTCTCCCACATCTGAAGTCTTCTCAGTGGACCAACCAAAAAGGCCTTGGAATGATTCTGGGAGGGCATTTCAGTACTTGACATTGCAGTAGTTAGAAGGAAATTCCTTTTCTACTACACCTAACAGAACACTTTATTTCGGCAAGTTACCATTACACTTGGAAATCTTTAGCATATGGCCCAAAGGAAAATAAACATACTTTTTTTTAAAATGAAAAATTGATAGCTAAAGTCTCTGTGTGGGGTATCTTCATTACCAATGTTTTTTAGAGTTTTCAGCAAAGAAGTATGTGTTCTCATCATTCTTATTTTGCCTTGCGAATCAAACTTACAAGGAAAAATTAAAATATTTGAAATTGAAAAAAATACTTAGTTTATCTGTTGACAGGAAATTAGTGCCTTAAAGTTCAGACCTGGCTCCCAGTCAAACACTAGTGTGAAAGATGTGCACTTAATCCCTGAGTGGCTATACAAGCCGGAAGGCAGAGTTCCCTGTTCCTTGGTCATGTTGACTTGCTCCTTTTGTTTTTGTTGGCTAATTATGTCTTTTGTCCTGGTAGTAGTATAATAAATTGCTGGGAAAGTTTAACCTAATTTTATTCAAGATGCAATACACTAGCAGTATACGCTAATAGTGCTGCAACTTATTTCAAGGAGGAGATTGTTAAACCTAAACTCAGAACTCTAATAATGGTAAACAAAAGCAAAGAGGAACTGGAACAATAAATCTTACGCAAAAGAGCTCTTCAAAGTATTTTCCGTATTCATGTTATTCTACCTATTGCTTTTCAGGAAATCTGCCTTGTTCCCTTTAGAAAACATCATCTGGGATGGTATTTTTTCCCAAGCTGTGTACTGCATTAGCTTTTACAGGGGAGAATGCATTATACGATGTACTTTGACACGGATAAAATGTGTTACAGAGTATCAGATTATGCATTAAACCACTGGTAGTGAGATGATGTGCTGGTTTGGGGGGGGTTTGCCTCTGCCAGTCATTATCTTTTTGTGCATGTGGACTACACAAAAATTTTATACAATCATGTTTTATTCATTTATAAACACCCAGATTGACTCCAGAGTTTATAGCAAACGACTCTGCAAATAGGGACTCAGACAGAAAAAATCAGACTTGCACCAAAGAAAGACACCTACTGCTGTCTCTGTGATAGGGGTGAGACAGGGACTCCACCTTTGATCAGAAGTGGATATTCTGGCTTCCGTCACTTAGTGATGACTCCCCCTTCAGCCCACACATGAACATTAAGGGTAAGTTTTTTGCTTAAAGTTGCTTAGAAGAGTAAGACCTATATTCAGAATTTACTTTTAAATACTTAATGATTTTCACATAAGCCTGAACTAGGACTTAGGCTTCTCTGTCACAAAGACACACTGGACAGATGCAAGAGGGACTTGGGCAAGGACTCAGTTGTGTTGCTAGAATAGGAACAAAGTGGTTCTTGTTGGCTTTGGTAATACCTGTGCATCAGGGAATAACAGCGTCGTGCAATCTTCTTCAGGTCTGCATGTTCATAGGAAGCATGTGTTACAACTGACACTTGGAGAACTGGCTTGTGGCTGCCACAGGTTTTATGTAGCAGAATAACCAGTGAGGATTAGTTTATTTTTAAAAGCTGTCCAGATGCAGCAGCTGGGTAAAAGTGAGCCTATCCACTTGGGTTATGGAACCTTTGTAGCATTCTTCTGAACTGTATATAGGCACAAGATATTCACCAGTCACTGAACGCTGTGTATGCGCAGTCTGGTCACCTTTTCTGGTTAAAATTGTTTTGTCGTCTCATCATAGGATTGTTTCTTTGGCAACTTATGGAGATAACTAGAGTGCATATCATTGGACAGAAAGCTAGAATTAGTTCATCCAGTTACTGTACTTTGTAATCAGCAATTTTTTTTTTTGTTTTAGGAATGAATGCGTCAGTGACCATCTGAATATTTTTGCTGTTATTTTTTTTAGATCACAGCGTTCAAATTTCAATGTATCGTCTGCAAATGGAATTCTTCTCTTCAGAGAAGCTAGTAAAATGATTTGTACGTATGGTAAGTATTCATTAATGTTTCCTCTGCAGTGTAATTCTTTGCCTCTCTTGTGATATAAAAATCCTGTTAGTTCATATTGCTAAGCACCAACGGATTTGGGGAATACGCAGCTGGAGTGTAATGTGCTACAGCCAGTATCAGCCCTTTGCAGAGTGCAGAGCATACGTGGCAGACCTTTGGAGCTCATTTACCTTCCTAAATCAGGGTTCATTCATGTGGCATTGTTGCTTGTATCGCTTTTTTAACTTGCATGCTTCTCTTCTAGGAACCATAAATGTGTTTCAGTGAATATACAAATACTCATGAGGTGTTTGATCTAAGCTACTGATTGATAGGTGTGGGTCGATTTTATGTATTCAAATTATATTTCAGCAGTTCCAAAACATAATAGGACCATAACAGCCTTACCCTAGAGCACTGTTAAAAGTGTTTATAATAAGTTGCTCCATTTTACTGCTCCCACTCATGCATGCAACTGCAACAGGTCTTTGACACCAGCAGTTTATATTACACTCCAACTAACTTTGTAGCTTACAATTTTGCTTTCAAAATACTTTGAAAGGAGCATTACCAAGTTTTTGTAGAGCAGCCTCATCTGTAGTTTATTTAAACAGGCAGAGCCGTATGCTTCCTGTTTCTTTCAAAGAAAGAAAACTGGTGCATCAAATATGCTTTTACTCCTTTCAAGTTGCTTTTTGGGTATAGAAACTTTGTTACGTGGCTGCCTGCATGAAAATCTTTCAATGTCTCTTTGCATTTGACCCATAGGGCATGGAAACAGTGTATGTAGAATCCATAAAACATTCACGTACAACAGAAAAAATTACACCCAAGTAATTCTTGCTCCTTGCAGAATAATTTTTCTGTTTCTCTTTGAAATATACTGTGTAGTAAGCTAGCACATTTTTTTCAGTTATGTTCTTGAGTAAATTCTTTATAATGATAAAACAAAATAAAAATAAGATTTTTTTTTATGTATGAAAAGATAAAAGGCAAACTTTCAGATTTTACTTCTCATTTTGTTAGCCTTTGAACTTAATTGCTGTCAACTTTCTTTTGATGATTTAAAAAAAAATCAAGTGTAGTCATAATGACGCTTCAACCCTACTTGTCTTACGGTACCTGATCACATTGCAGTTATTTTCCTTTTTTTTTTTTTTCAATTTAAACTTTATATCAATTGGCCTTTACAGTCCTTTCTGAACTTATGAAAAACATTCTGAATTATCTGGCATCCATTCATCTCAGTTGTGGGCATCAAGTTTCTAAACCTTGCTGAGTAAACCACACTAGTTGGTTTCAACCTGCTTCATTCCTAATTCATGCCTAAACAACACTTTGTCAAGAAACCTTTTGCTTTTGCTGGCAGCTTTCATGGTATGTATGTGAAGTTCATAAAATTTGCAGCCCTAAATTATTGGTAGCTCTTGCATGTAAGGACCAGACAAGATTTTCTGGCTCAGAAATAGCATAGCCAGCAGGACTAGGGTAGGGATTGTCCACCTGTATTTGGCACTGATAAGACTACACCTCAAATCCTGAGTTCGGTTTTTAGCACCTCACTGCAAGAATAACATTGAGGGGCTGGAGTGTGTCCAGAGAAGGGCAACGAAGCTGGTGAAGAGTGTTATGAGCACAAGTCTTATGAGGAGTGTCTGAGGGAACTGGGGTTGTTTAGCCTGAAGAGAAGGAAGCTCAGGGGAAATCTTATTGCTCTCTACACATCTGGAGATGTGTGCCATAGAAAGAAGTGAAGCGACCATAAGAGCTTTCTCTCACACTACTCTTCTGTGTCTTTCATAACTGTTTTCCTATGGAAGGGTGACATTTTACTCGACACAGGTTTATGGGGAGAACTATTCTTAATATAGTTCTTAATGTCCTCCAAGAGGAAAACTTAAAATCAACTAAATCAGCTTGAAGTGGGGAAGGACACACATGTGGGAAAAAGGCAAAAGCCTCCACTCAATATATGTATGTTTGTCTTTTGCCTTTAAAACACATTTGTGTTATCATCAGTGCCTGAAAGGGTCCCATCAGTGATCTTCCTAGTACTTAGGTGTGACATTTAGGGGCGTTGTTTAGGTTTTCTTTCCTGTGGGTGATTGCCAATATTTATTCTGAGACTGGACTCACTGCAGAGTCAATATAAAAGACCTCCCGGGGCAGTTGCCTGAATTGGCCACTTAGAGCAGAGATTTCAAATAATCCAGCTGGCTCGGCACTGGCACAGATGGGCAGCACTGGCCTGGCCATCACCGTGGCTCAGCTGTGGGTGCAGGAATAAACAGCCTGGATTAGCACTATCTCACACTGCTACAGCTCTTTCTGAAGTGGTCACCTGTTTACATTCTGGGAAGGTTTTACTGCCCGCTGTAAGTATTTCAAGATACTACAGTTAATCAGCTTTGAATAATTGCTGTTAACATTTCTAGCTTTTATCACCAGTTACTAGTTTATGAGATTTCCATTCCAGTGTACAGAAAGATATAACTCTTCTGGAAATATGTTGTAAGAATTCATTATTTTTGTTACATATGATCTTTTGAACATAGACATTCCTATTAAAAATATTGATATTAAGAAATTTTGCAGTCATTTCAAATGCCTTCCTGAAAGTCTTAATAATTATGCTTTTAAGGAAAACTTTAATCCATAATACTTTATGATTTTGTTTTAAGTGTGTTTGTGTTTTAAGCAGAAAAATGCTGGGGAAAAATAAGTAAAATAAGTGATGATCATTAAATTCACTTTGGTGTTCTTGAGCCATGCTTCTAGCCACACATTCTGCAAAAAGTATGGGTTTCAGTTAAAAGAACAAGTATGTACGTCCCTTCTAATCCTTTGGTTCAGTTTTCAAGTTTTCGGCTGTAGCCTTGTGGCAAGTAACTTAAAATTCTGACAAATAGTTGAGATCCTCACATTCAGCATCATTTTTGGCTGAAGCATGAGAGAAAAAAAAACAAAACACAGAAGTGACACACTAAACATCAAGAGATGCCAACAGAGAGTATATGCTCATTTACACCACCAAGTCTGCCATACCTCTTGTATATGCCTGCAGCTTATAGAAAGCTCCTCAAAGTTGATCAAAAAGACACTTAAGACTCAAGATTTGATTGATCCTTCCTTTCGGTTAATCCATTGACTGAGTGAGTTGTCATAAACTCTATCCAGTCTCCTCTCATCCCTGAGAAGTTGTTCTTGCCATCATCTGGAGACCTAGCTGCGTTTACTTCTCTTGGCAACCCCTGTCTGAACACTGGGCTTCCAACTGCTTATTACCTCTCACTTCTCCTCCTTACCTTGCCCTTGCCCTTGACAGTGAGAGTTTCCACCACATTGCTCAGCAGCTCTCCAGGGAGAGACCTGGTCCCTCCAGGCCTGGCCTGGTTGCTTCTTTTTCTTAGGAACATATTACATACAAACAATATATGAAAATATGGCTTAATTGCATTTTGCTTCCATGGGCAAGTAAAATTAAAATTTGTTTTAGAACAGGATTTTTCCTTCTTCTCTCTTATATGTCATGATATACAGAAAATGCCATTAAAAGTATTATTTTCAGAAATCTCATCTGCACCAAATTAAACAGGAGAATTTTCAGTTATGACTTAGATCCGCTGGAAATCTTTCTCTGTAAACCAATAGGTACATAAAAATGTGATCAAATGCATCTCTGTCCTGTCAACACTTAGACAAGGAAATGGTAACTGAAGTGAGGTGGCAGCAGGTGATTCTCCTCACCTACATCAGAGCACAGTGCTCTGGTCATTAATTGACGTAATGGTGATTTTTCCTAAGGCTGTACTACACTGGTCAAAGCAGTTTTGGATAACACAAAAACACTTTGCAAAATAAAGCCTTCTTTAGGTGAGGAAAATCATCTAGAATTTCTATGTGGGTTTGTTTTCTGTGAACCCTGTACTGTTGTTTACATGCAAATAACTTTGAAACAAACATTTGGTAATCTGGCATGTCACTGTCTTTCCATCTTCAGTTTTGCCAAGGTTTGTGATGTCCAAATGGTACCTCCATTTACTATCTACACGTACTGCAAGATCTGTGCTTAGGCTAAAAATAAAAAGGGCAAGAAAAGGGTAGGACTGTGTTTCTGGGGTGTGTATGTATGTGAATGCTTGTCCATATGGCTGCTGAAATCTCTTCAGTTCTAGGCTAAAACATATACTCTCTCCTTCTCCTCTATACTGGCATATACTGATTTCATATGGTTGAGTGCAAAGCAGAAAAATAGTACCTATTTTTAAGACAGTTGTCAGTGAATAAGATTTAAAATATGCATTTTTTGTAGTTTTGAAAATTAGCACTTCAGGGAGTGTTTAACTCTGCTTAACAGACCCAGTTTTGTGAACTTTGTAGTACTCGTGTGTTCCTGTCCTTTTCTCATTTATCACTGATACCAATACAGTGCTGAAGACAATTCTAAGATGTCTTTACAAATACTACACGTTTAAAAGATGTAAAGCCTGGCACAGGATGCAAAAAGCACTTAGACAGCCAATTATCCTTGTTAGGCCTCTGCAGCTGCTTGGCGAGGGCTGTTGTGGCTTGTCCATTATGGCTAGAGCCAACCTGACGGAGTGATAGAGTGATTTAAAATAAACAACTGAGAGGAGACAATTGAAAGGAGTTGGAATAGTACAGTCCACCATTCTTCATCCCCAATATACGTCACCTTTAATTCTGAATGTACAAGTCTCCTTACTATGTGTTCTTGAACTCCCAGCTGTACAGGAATGATGTTTCAGTGCATCTTGGGACCATCTATTTTTGTTTTGTGGTTTCTTTACATTTTCGTAAACCTCTTCCCTTTCATTATAGGAGCCTGACATAAAAATAATATTTTCAATATGCTGTTTTTATTTATCTACATTCTGTCATGATATACTTTGATGTAAGTTTTTAATTTTGCCTCAGCTTTCAGCTGTTGTAGCAGTTACTGCTCAAGGTCAGCGAAGAGGTTAGCCACAGTAGCACAAAACAATTTCCTGTTCTCACAGCCCAGGTAGCATTTGGATGTGGATTAAATTTTACCACATTTTCCAGGAGCCAGACACAATTATTTCTGATGAGCTTTAAATTGCTTCCAGAACATGTATTTCAAAACTTAGCGTGGTAATCCATTAAGTGCCAGCAACTTCATAAGATAACAGTTCTTCTTCAAAATTTTGGTTAAACTGTTTCTTGCAGTATAACAGGTATTTCTAACCAGCAGCTTAGCTTAAAAGTGGAGTGCTTGCTGGTCTCGGCTGCTGTTGGTCTGCTCTCCTCTCCGTTCTGATAGCAGTTCCAGAATATATTGCTCTTCATTATGGACTCAGATTTCATAATAGGTTTCTTTTGGCAAATTGATCTTGCCACTATGCATGCACGTTGTGCTGATTTGAGGGGGTTAATGCGTGTTTTGTTGTTGTGGAAGCTTTAAAAAATCAGGTTTTGAAGCTTGCTCTCATCTTTACGATTCATGTTTTCGTTTACTGTATATGGCCGGTTCTTTATCCTGCCCTAACATTCTGAATGCCTGGAAAGCATACATTCAAAACCATCTTTATAGGGCAGTGGTGAATAATAAAAATAGGAAAGGGGAAAAGGCAAAAAACACTTTTTTTCTATAAATGTGATAAATTTTCACAAACTTTATTTAATCTTACCCAAGTCTTTTTTTATCTTCATCTAATTCACACATGTTAAAACATGATTTAGTTGTATTATTATACATAGAGCTTATTGGACTGAAATCTAGAACAAGCTCTGCATAAATGAAACTCAGCCATAAGGAAATCATTTTGGTATTATAGCTTCTACTGTAAAAGCAATTAAGGAGGAGAACTGAAAGAGAAGCTGCCTGTCCTGACATGCTCCCGCATCTAGGAGGGAGTGAGGGAATGAGCTGTGCAAAGAGCTCTGGTGCATATTGCCTGTGGGATTCTGAGGCATGGTGATGTTATCTACAGTCAGAGCATCCCAGTTTGGTTTTTTGCTGGCTTTGTATTTCCCCCCTGCGTACATGCACTTTTTTTTTCCTGCTCCTTTATGTACTAAGGGGTCTTTGGGTAATGAAATGCTTAAATTGTCAGCCAAATTTAAGCCCTTATTTCCAATCTAACGGTTTCACCCAATACCTTTAAAAATCCTGTTCTTATTCTTGCCAGAATTTTGTATTGCCTCTGAGGCTCAGAGAGTTTATAATTTCCTTGAGTGACGTTACTGTCAAATGCAGAGCAAAAAGTTGTATTAAAGCAAATGACTGAGAATTTTGGAAGTCAGTATATTTTAAGATCATGTGATACTATTTCTCCCACGTTAAGGAGAAATTGGTGCAAGTTGGATTTTTTTTCATTTGATTTTTAACTCAGTAGTAACACTGAAACTTCACTGATTAGTCTCTACAGAGTTTTCATTTTGACAGGAGCTATGAATTTCAAACACAATTTTTAAATTCAGCATGTCAAAGGTCACTTTTTTGTTGATTTAATTTCTTTAAATTGTTTCCTTTAACAATAGGAGTTTATAAAATTGCATTTTGGTCCTCCACTACAGGGATTATAAATGTAAGCATATCCTCGGTAACTGAGGAGTTGTTCTTGACCTGATTCCAAGTACCTCAGTAAATTAGTTTATGTTCAGTAGTATCCATGGTGTGTAAAAATATTCCCCTGAAGCACCCACTAAACGTTACAAGTAGATCATTCTTTTTTTTTATCTCGTCAGGCATAGCATCGTACTTCATATTTTTTTTCAATAACTAATGCTAAAACAGTAGTCTTTGTTCTAGCTCTGCATCCCTTGAATCACAGGCTGATGGCTTGGGGCGTTGGTAAAGGCGCTGCGTGGTCTTTCACCTCTGCTGCTAACGCTCTTCCCGCTCTTAGGCCCTTTTCAAATGAGTCCATGCACACATAACTGTTCTCTGTAGACTCTGTTCACTTGCAAAATGCAGCTTTTAATCTTGCACTAGACCCAAATTCCTCTGTGTTTTCATTAGAAGGGTTCAGCACCAAGTTCCTCTTGTGCTGTGTGGGCCCTGGGTGAGGGAGCAGGGTTGTGCCTTCCTGCAGCGAGAGCTTTGGGCTGGTCATTGGATTTAAAGTTTTAATTATAGGGTGATTTTTTGTGTCATGCAGTAAGAATGATAGATCAGCACTAGTGGATACTTCCTAGAATTCATGTTCCCAGGCTAAGGGGTTCCTAGGGCTTTTCCAGCTTCTTTCTTCATCATCCGTTTTTTCTGTTGACATCCAGTTAATTTCCATATTAAGTACATAATTGCCTCGTTGACAACTACTAAACTCTTTCCATCTGTTGTTGCATATTACTCTGAGTACTTCCAGGATTTAGGATTGTACAATGTCGTGCTTGGACAGCTCAGCTGTAAACTCAAGGCTGTTACTTTTTTGTATCCAGAACTTTGTCTTTGCTTATTTCTGAAGCCAGAAAAAAAAAATTGTGTTATTAGAGACTTTTCAGCAGAGAATTTAGTAGTGGAGAAGAACAGATAAGGTTAGTTTACAGCACAGTTATTTTTCTGTCTTGTTTTTACCCTAAGAATTGTATGCTGTTTATGTTGAGGCTTTCAAAAATGGCATGCGCCTTCCCACTTCAGCTCACAGGCAGGATTTTGTATCTCATTTTGGTTTTTTCAAAGAATTTGAAATTCACTTATCTTCTCAATAACTAGACTAGGTCTTGTCAAAAAGATTAATGTTAATTAAGATGACCTGGCTGGGATATCTTAAATGGTGCACTGTAGGAGGCTAAATGGAGTTTATCTTTCATATTATGTATATGTAATTTCTCGGTAATATGAACTATTACCATAAATTAACTTCCAGGTACACTAGAAAATATTCTTCTTTTTCTGCTATGTTTTACTTTTCAAAGAGGATCTTTTGGATACTTGCCATTTTTATAAGAGATGTAACACCAGCTGAAATTAATTTCTATGCAGTAGCTGTCACTGAAAGTGTACCCTCTTCCCCAGTTACACTGTGTCCATGACTACAGCTTTCGGGGTAGTAGAGATGCTCATGTGACCATTTACAGTCTCAAAACCATTCTGAATTTTCATTTAAATTAAGAGGGCTTGATTTTGTTTGGAAGTAACCACCATTCCTAGCTAAATACTTGATTCTTCTCCTCCGTGCTGTAATTCTAGTGATGCCATTCACCTTCTTAAAGACTCCATAGTACTTCTAGGCAGTCCCTGATGGTACTCCCCGTCTTTTTTTCGTAAATCTACTTTTCCTTTACAACCCGATGGATAAATTGAGTAAAAGCCCTCGTTTTTACTAAATATTAATGTTTTGAACAGTAACTTATGCCTTTCCCTCTGCATCGAATGATACCAAATGGGTAATAATTTGATGCATTGGGAATTTAGAAAAAAAATTTCTCTGCTTGTTTTTCTAATTACATTATGTAAGTTCTTCATGGTCAGTAACCAATAGCATTAAGAGAAAGAATTAAAATAAGATAGATAGATGATTTGCACGTGGAAATGTGTGTGGGTAGTAAGGAGAGCTGTGTATAGACAAACCCAGTTCAATGTTAGGCCTCAATATGTATTAAACAATACTACACAGTCCCTGAGAACTGAAGTATCTAATCTTTGCCATGTTCATTCTACTGTTTTAGCTCACTTTCATTAATTACTTCAGGTTTTAAAAAAAAAGTTGTCATGAAGGCAAACTAACTCAGGGGTGCTGTGAGGATGAGCATTTAATTATTATAAGATACTTAGAAAACTTGGTAATGAGGCCTTGTGAATAATTAGATTTATACAGAGGATTGCAGCAGGATCTACTGTGCTGCTGCACAGTGGATCCAAAAGTCACTGTTGCCTATTAATAGCAACAGCAAATATGTACTGATAGCTGTTATTTCTACATTATAAACATGGAGTTTAATTAAAAAGTGATTCCCATCTGTGACTGGTAAAATAGAGGCTTTTGTAATGGATATATTTGTTTTCTGAGGGATATACTTAGTGTATGCATACATCTGCAACCACCCCAAGAGGCTGTTGTGGTAATGGATCAAAACTAGGCTTTGCTGCAGCATGAGAAACTATAAAACCATGTCTTCCAACTCTGTTCAGATTAAGGAATTCATGCTGATAGGCCTAGTCATGGTCTGGCTGCACATCAGTGACAGGAATTCTGTGGTTTGTGTTTTATCTTTTGCATATGAATTCCTTAGTGACTTTTAAGCTCTAGTCATGCTTACTTAACAGTTCTTTTACATCAAATGCAGAAACAATTTTTCAATGAAACAGTAAAGAAAATAAAGACAAAGAAATAAGTTTAGATAGTGACATCAAAATAATATAGATTTGCAGCTACTTATATAAGTTTCTTTCTTTCTTTCTATGAAAACAGGTAATCAGATCTTCTCTCTTGGGACTTTGTCAAAAGATGAGGTTTATCCGTTGAAACTCACAGACATTTCCATCTGTTACTCTGCACTTCAATCTGCCTTATGTGGAAATTATGTCAACTTTGGTGTCTTCGAGTTGTATAGGGACAACCCACTTGGATAATGTACTTCAGGCCTTTGTCAAAATGCTGCTTTCAGTATCCCACAGTGACTTGCTAGTAAGCAATTACTCACTTACTTTGGGACTCTTTATGTGAAATACGAAAGAACACCACCACAGGCTTTGCATTGTTATAATGAGACAGAGGGTTCTAGAACAGCCCAAATGCCATTTTCAGTTCAATTTCTTGAGTTTATTTGTACAATGACAACTGAAATACAGGTACGACTGAACTGCCATGTGAAATGGGAGCTTTTCCAGAATTTTCACTAGGTTTGTTGTAGAAGAGGGAAATGCAGGGTTTTACCTTCCTATACTTGCAAACCCGTTGCCTGCGTGCACTATAAAATGTTCTCACATATTCAGCCACTCTGCAATTAATTTCAATCTGTAAATTGTCACTGTGTATCCCACATAAAATTTAAAACTTTAAAGTACACCATGTTCCCATTTCTTTGTGAGAAGACAACAGATCTTCTGCAATATTAGCCTGAATTTGAGCTGTGACATTTTCTTCATAACACTTTAGTTCAGAACTGTCATTTTTTTGCTGGAAGGGACAAATTTGGGGTAGTTAAGGGTGGTTAATACCCAGATTTGTTTGCTACATAAAGAAAGTCCTTGGAGCTGAAAAGTTGCTCTCAATTAAAATCAGTGTACTGGTTGTATAGTAGAGTGTATTTGACACATTCTTAAGTCATCCAACAACAAATGCCCTAAACAAGATTCCTGAAGAGTGAGGTGATGATTGGGCCAATGTGTTCAAGGAAGTGCCTTTGCCTGCTCAGAGCCTGTTTTAGGACCTCACTTAAGCGCACAACAAGTCCATCTCTGAGATAATTTGTTGCAATCTGTGATAAATCATAACAAGATTTCCTGCAGAATGTAAGAAATGGGCTGTAATTGTGTCAAACTGACACCCTGGACAGAATGCTATACTGCTTTTACTAGACTAATAGCTGTGTAGAATTTCAGTGTGACAGCATTACTGCATTATCCTGAGCTTATTTTAAACTAATAGCGAGTTTATATCCTATGGTAAATTTGAAAAGTTGAAATCTACTGAAGACAAGAAGATATTTTGTTTCAATAAATATAAATGTTATGATTTAATGGCTAAATTAGAATTTATCACATCATAAGAACTATTAAGATCATTCTGCTATCATCTGTTAATATTGTTAATATTAGTCAATGGCAGTATCTATATTGTCTGTGAATGTGTACTCTTTTTTTTTCAGCAATATCAAAAACTAAGGCGGTCTTATTACCCGCTTTTGGAGAGTCTGACCCGACATCATATGAGTTTCATTATCAGTTTAGAACCTCACGTCCTAATCTATATTATTGCCTCAGTATCTGAAGGACTTACTGCAGTGGGTAAGAACTGCGTATGGTTGGCTAAAGAAAGAATTCAAGTATTTAGCTATCTAGGATTTTCAAAGAGGCACGTACATTTGTATCTTAAAAAAAATAATGTCAAGTTTGCAGTGGAAGATTCTGGCTTTTGAACATTTTAAGAATGTGACTATTTTGGTTAATGGAGCTAAGTTCTCTTATACAACTAACCTGTAGGTTTTTATAGGTGGTACTTTTAAATTGTCTTTTCTTACAAGCCAGAATTGTTAAAATTATTTATGCGCCTCCACTAGAATTGTACTGAAAATTCATGCATTTGTTATTCAGACATAAAATGTATTAATATATGTACAGGAATCTGTGGGGGTTTGTTTTCACTTGATCAACATAGCTGTTGTATAAATAATGCTTGTTCTGCACAGCTGTGATATGATTTGAGAAATATAAAGGTGTCTTCATTCCTGGAAAAAAGAAACATAGTTATTCAGTACCTCCTGAATATGCTTTAGAGGAGAACCAGTGCAACAGAAGCATACTCGGAGTAACGGTAAAAATACAGCTGTCTGATTGCAGTTCATTTCATTCTCTTGCACAGTTTAATTTATGCTTTTTAACCAGATGACTGTCCAGGCATTTGGAGTTTGGGCAGAAGGACTGGTAGCCCAATGTCCTTTAGAATAAAGAGGAGACTAAGCATTTGGGGGAAGAAAAAATAAATCATGCAGCTACATTGCAGTCAGCTGGGAATACTATGCATTTATATAGTTTTTTGACTGAGAAGCTATTCAAAACCTTACAGTTGTATTTCTTGATGAAGGAAAAAAAAATAGGAGCATATAACTTTAGTGTGTATAGATGTAACTCTGTAAGAGCTGGTGTTTCTCATTACCACCAAGTGTCAGTCAAGCCCCACAGGAATGTGTGAATGCACCGAGACTCACAAAGCGTTTGCTATGTTAGACACATTCAGCAGTTTTTGCTGTGAGAGGGGAACCACTCGGAGAGAAAATGGGTAGTGAATAGCTAAGCAACAGTAGTAAAGAAGTATTCAGGTCACTTTATTATGTAATGCTGAAATCCATCTTCTCCCAGCTATTTGGAGTGCTTTGGCACCTGGGCAGTGGAGGGTGCAGCAGTTCCTGCCTGTAGGCTGGTTCTGTTGGGACTCTGCCTGTTGATCATTTGCAGATGGATATGTTGGACTGAACATGAGCTTGACGGACAGCTGCCAGCTTAGCAAGCCCTGTTCCTCTTCTCTGTTAGCACTCCACATGACATCTCTTCCATTTGAAATATGGGTTACATTCATTTTGATAATTCACCAAGTTCACATTAACCGTCTCTTTGAAACCCAATTTGAATTCATGTAAAAGAAAGAGAAGATGTAAAGAAAGAGAAGATGTAAAAGCTCTATAAGCTTCACCTTTCATGTATTATTTTTCCCCTCTCAAAAAGTGTTGATCTCTTTCTCAAGGTGGGACGGAGGAATAAGAAAAGTATGTAATTCCAATTTGAGCTTTAAACTTTTGTGGGTTAGGTATCTGGGATTTCAGTCATAAGGAATTATGAATTTTTAGGAACAGAAGTTTTCTTAGAAAACCTATTTGGTGGAATTCCTGATATTCTGCTGAGAAAAGTATCAACACACATTGTAACAGCTCACTGTTTTTCACATTTCATAAACCATGGATTTACTTAGCCAGTGCTAAGTTCACCTTAATGTCCTTTAAGTACCTAAAATAAACACAAACACACAAGACTAAAACAAAGTATGTAGGAAATTTTAATTTTACCCAGCTTCACTGAAAGCTTGATGCAGTCCATCAAAAGCTATTTTGCTCACTTTCATTTTCATTTTTTTATTTTGATTACTCTAGTTCCTCCAAACTCAGGTAGTTTTCCAGTCTTTGAGACTTGCCAAATCTCTGTCAGTAAGACCTGTCTGTTTCCATACTGCCCAGAAAGGATGTGGAATCTCCATCCTTGGAGATATCCCCAGATCTGGGACAAGGTCCTGAGGAGCCTGTCTGATGTTGACCATATTCTGGGCCAGAGGTTTGACTGGAGGATGGTCCCATTTGGTTGTTGCCACCATCTTTAGGATCCCACTGGTATTTGCCCTACATTTTCCACTTGTATTCTTGAGCTTTCTAAAACATTTTTTTTATTCTGTCTAAATGCTTATGCAGTCCCTAATCTTGGTGAATGTCTCTTGCACATTAAATACTTAATTTCCATGATTAGTCAGCTGAAAAATACTTCTTTTTTACCTTTCATGTTGAAGTGATAATATGATTATTTTTCTTTACTATGTTTCATAATGTATCTGCGTGTATCAAGAACTGATATTGATGTCAGCCATTAAATTCCTCACTTGTGTTCAAGAAGATAACTTCTTGTAGTGAAGTGAATTTTTGCAACGAACTGAATCATTTTCCTTACTCTGATAATGCCATTATCCAGATGAACTACTCTTTGGTCAGTTCCTACCTCTTAATGTTTATTTATTTTTAACAGTCTCAAGAGTTAGTTACCTGTCACTGCATTTTCTTACAAATCATTCTTCTAAATGTTTTATCCCTTAGAAAATTTTGGTATTTGGGACATTGCCAGTTGTCAGACAACAAAATACAAATTAATTTCCTATGTGTTACTTGGTCACATGCATCCTTCTGCCCTCAGAAAATGGGTAAGTAGATCTAAGAGCTGCCTTTTTCACTGAATTATATGAGTGCCACAAGAACATCTCAGAATAGTAGGGCTTAGGGCTATAAGCTATCTGAAGGGGAATTGTGTTTTAAACTGATTAGAACATACAAGTCATTTTCAGAAATGTTTATAAAAATGAAATAGCTGTCTTTTTATTTTAAAAATTAAATACCAGGAGATCACTTCTCTTTCACAGGGGGAAAAAAAAAAAAAAAAAATCTGACTTTTTTTCTCTATTCCGTTTACGTATGTGAAACCTTTGAGACTCCCTTGTTGTCAGCCGTAGGAGAAACATTCCCTGAGTCCTTATTTCTGAGGCACGTTCATTCTGTTGCTGAGTAAATACCTTGCTTGATTCCACACTTTAGAAACACTGTGGAAGAATATGTATTCCTTCCAAAGCACCTAGCTGTAAATCATCTCTAATGGAAGCCCTCAACTAAGCTTTTATTGCCAGGATAAACACTCCAATAGGTCTCTTCTAAAGTGTTTACCTGGCTTTTTCACAGCTGACTCAGTGGATCCAAGCCCTTTAATGTAGTCTGCCTGGCATGTTGTCACTAATCTCTGCAAAGCTTTTCTAATTCTCATATGATTAATAGTATAGCATGCTATTCATTGAGGAAAAAGTAAAACATTTTTTCTGTCTTGCTGCCTAATTTAGACATTAAATTGCTAAATCCATTTACTTTCGAGGTTTAGTCTCAAAGGCAAATATTGCCAGTATTGAACTGTAAGCAATTGATGGACAAGGAAAATACCACTTAACTCCCACTCCTTGACTTTATGTGGAAAACAAACCAAAATCTTTTAATATGCAGAGATTCAGCAATGTCATTAAACTATTGAAAAATAATTCCCCTTCAGCATGCTGTTGTCACATTGTTGAGTCCAAAAGGAATCCTCAAGTTGTTTGAGGATTCTGTTGTGTTTTTTTCAAGTATAATCTTAATTAAATTAAAAATATACTTTTAAAATTAAAAAAAAAAAAAAAACAATATTTTTAAATACAACCCATTCTAACACACATGCTCAACTTGTAGTTTCTTGAGCTAATGGCTGATTGGAATTGCCTACATAAGGCAAAACCACACAGATAATAGATAATAAAAAAATGCATGTGACATTATCCACCAAAACTGACAAAGAAGCTAAAAGAGCTAGTTGAATGTGATGGTGACTGGTGCCAGAGTTGTCATTCTTGTCCCCTGCCCACCACCAACACCTACCTTGCCATCAAGTGAGTCCAGAGAGCTCAGTTTTGTTCAGCAAAACTACGGACCTGTCATTAGATCCGTGCTGACACAGATGGAGCTAGTTTTGGTGTTCTCTGTAACCATGGCCTGCTTGTTTCATGATCCAAATGGTTTGTTCACAGGTGATAAAGCTGAGCTGACCAGAAGTGAGGAACGTGCTTTCACTGCATTTTTCCTGATTATCCCAAGGTTTTACCTCCATTTCTTAATCTGTCTTCTCCATCCATTTCTTCTGTGCATAATCCAGAACTGGTAGCTCCTTGCTGCTCTTATTTATTGTATTTATTTGGTTGGCTGGCTTATCTCACTAAGATTTAGTGAGAACACTGTTCTGCTTCAGCACAAGGTTCCACATGCCCAGAAGAGTCATTCAAGGGAGTCTGCTTGACGCTCCCTGTCTGTTATATCCTTGCAATCAAAAGGAAAAATGAGCATAGGGAAGCATATTTGATATATAGTTATGGGTAAATTTAAGTAGCTCTTAACACTCATATCAGATTCTCATGAGCAAATGATAGCATAGACCTGTCTGCTGTCCTGCTAAAATCACTTACTGTCGAATGTAAAATATCTGCTTGTACAGTATCAGCATGTTTAGAACCACTGCTGTTTTGTAAACCGATGATAGTGATTTACTTTGTATTATTCAATTTAAAAAGCAATAGAGTTAAGCACTGGTTTAGAAATACAGCAGAGCCCTCCTATGAAATATGTATTTTCAAATCTTTCACTTGTTGTTATTGATGGTGATTCAATTCCATCATGAATTGCATTTCTAGTTTATATGCAGGACTGTTTTGGTTGAGAGCAGGATGAGTGCCAGGTTCTACAGTCTTTACTTTGCAAGACTCAACTCAGCTTTGTTCCGATAATGTCTTTAACATCCTGCCCTGTTGAATTCAGCCCTAGGAAGCTCACTGGTCCGGTGGAGACAGAGCTGAGCTCATGGAGAAATGAGCTTCAGCTCATTTCTGCGAGCTGTTAGATCGCTCTCAACTCCTGCTGCTAAGTCAGCTGGTTGCTTTGGGAGATCAGGTCTTAGGAGACCACTTGTATCTTCTTTGCCTGCAAATGTTACTTCGGTGTTTAATTCAAAGCACTCTTAGCAAAATACAATTAGTTTTTAGATGGCGAAGGGTTAATAGTGTCAGCACAGAGCTTAAGGAGTTAAACAGACACAGATCAAAATACTTCAGTGTCTAGAGGGATGTGTTTAAATGAACACTGCAAGGTTGGCAGGCCTCCAAATTAGCCTAGTTTAAAGAATTCAAGGTACATTTAATTGGATCCTTCTAATCCCTTTTCCCTCAGAATGAGCATTTTAACAGTTTAATTCCTTTTGCAACCCCCACACATCCCTTACTCCAGTGGCCCATCTAAAATAAATACTGTGAACTATAAAAGGCCTAGACAACTTCTTGCTGAAGACAGTGGCAACAGAATGAAGTCCTAAATGCTCCACACGTTTGGATCTGATGTTTGAAATATCAGAGAATATCAGTTAGGGGTGAACCTTGCACCCACATGTGTGTCAGGAGCTTCAGCAGGAGTTGGTACGGCAAGGAGCTGGCAGTTGTTGAGGCGTGTGGCGCTGGCCAGGGTGACAGAACTGTGGCTGGGAGGCAGCACCATTTTAAGTGTCAAAGTCACAGGCCCTGGCCTTGGGGCCAAGAAGTATCTCGGGTGTCAGGGCAGGAGGAGATGGAAGCTGGGCAAGGGGAAGTGTGCTCCACTGTGTGGAAGAGGAGGGTGGGAGGAGCGTGCCTGAGAACCAGTACACTGTTACCGTGGTGCTGATGCGCAGAGGGTAGGAGAATCCTCTCACAGCAGAGGCGCAGCAGGCAACACCTAGCAACAAAATCACTTACATCAATCAGACAGGCATACTTACCCTGCAATTAGGTTTAAGCTTTTCATCTCACTTACTTATAGAAACAGTAAGTACAGATAGGAAGTGGCTTTTGCTTCGGCTTTTCAAGAGTATCCTCCTTTGCTGTCATGACTTTCACTTTTGGGGACGTTTATGAGGCACACAGTAGTGACTGCTGTTGTGTTGTTGCCAGCCATATTGAATGTACTCCAACCTACTTGGATTATTAGTTGTTAAGCAAAATGACTGACAGTCCTGTGATCACCCTTTTACTACTTTTAACGACCCTTGTTCCTTGTTTGCCACCTCATATTGACTGAAGCTGTTTGGAGCAGAAAAACATTGCGAAATATTCCTTGAGAAAAACCTGGACAACAGTTCTACTCAGTTTACCCTTCCCTTTGCAGTAAGCAGACCAAACCAGCATTTTAGTTTCCAGGAATCTGGAGCCTTCTGAATGTAAAACTGAGTACCAGTAAAATGTCAGCCCTCATCCTGCACTTCCCAGTACACAGAGGGGCAGCTGCATTCATACAGCTGTGAATGAAGTTCACCAGAGTTCATGGGTCTTTACTGTGTGGAGTAAATACGCTGTGTGTAACTGGATAGCTAAAGTTATTAAACCTTTGCTTTTGAGTTAATAAAAGCAGTCTTCAAAACTAGTCCGCTCCTGTATCAAAAATAGACTTGTCAATGTATCGATTAGCCTAATGTCAAAGAGATTATTAAAGTTGAGCTCTCCAAATACTATAAAATGTTGATATTAATTATTCTTTTATGGAAACAATTTCAAAACTGTTTCATTTTTTTGCACAGATACAATTGTGATCTACAACTGTTGCACTAGTTTGGACTACATTGTAACCTACCTCTTCAAGCGCCTCACTAGAGAACACAAGAGTAGACTAAAATGTAGGGAGATTTCACAGGATGGACAGAGATTTCTTCATTTCATGCAGCAGATCTCAGAAGCTCTACAGCAGGTGAATTAGCAGTCTTTTCTATGGGGTATTACTACATTTCTGAATTTTCCTGGTTATTTTGTGGTATTCAACACCAGGGTAGTGTTGGCTATGTAGTAGCAGAGCACACCTCAGTATGCTAGTGTGCAGCCTTGAGTAGCTTCAGCCATGTTCTCATGACAACCAAAGACTGAAGATATTGTTTGTCATACTGAAAAGCATAGATACTACACTTGGTTTACAGGATCTTAAAACCTGGAGTTTCATTTTTGCTCATAAAAAGATGTGTGACATCATCAATACATTTCTATAGACAGATGGGAAGGAAAGCTCTCTAAAGTGTTTTAGGACGAGGGAGAACAAATTCTGGCTTTGAACCACATATTTTGCTAATGAAATGTGTAAATTGAATGGCTGTGTTCTGTCGAGTTTGAGTATTTTATTTTGCAGTAGGTGACTCACTGGGATTTTTTTTCTGTTAGAGGTAAATACAATAGAAATTACATTTTATGCTTCTGAAAAGGAAGTGGCTGCTGCACTGCTTAGGAGAGATTTCTCCTTCCCAGCTCTGTCGGGTTTATCACAGCCCAGTTACATTACAGGAGGATCAGGAGGTTTGTAGCTATGTATCTCCACATTTGCTCCATGCCACATTCCCTTAAAATCTCATTAAGCTATTTGAAAACGCATATTTACAAGAATCTCTGGATTCCTAATGCCGTTGCAAAGATGCCATTTCAGGAGAGGTGTTTTGCAGGTCTGGAGGCTTTTAATGAAAATGGAAGTTATTAAGAAAGTGCAGATCATCAGTGTGGTCATTTTCATGTTTCCCTAATAGGTGGGCTGTCATTTGGAAAACACTTGGCACATAGTCACCACAGATACTGTCATCATTTGTATACTCTTCTAATTGAAGGTGAAAAGTAACTAGTGGTAGCTAATATATTCCTGGCAGTATATAGTGTATTGTGAGAATATTGATGTTGTTTGCTATTGACATCATTATCAAAATATGATGATTCCCCTGTCATATTATAGGTTCTTATGTTTTGCTTGCCTAATTGGAGTTTCAGGGAAATCAGGAATGAATTTGGCATTTGGGGATGTGGGATTGCTCAGGATTGTGCCATGCATGCAGTAGCTGGAACGTAAAGGACAAGAGGAGGAACTTGGACTCTGTGGCAATCTTGATGTAATACTTTGCCTGCTAATATGGAGTAATCTTTCACTTCACAGCATATGACTAGGTGGTGATCTGTCTTTATTAACTTCAGATTCTGCAAAATACGTTATATTTATTTTGAATGCAGGCTTTCACATACTCTTTTAAATATTAATGGCTGGTCTCCAGTAGTCAGCATAAATATGATTCGCATTAGCACTAGTCATATTATATTGAGTGCCTCTGATGTCAACTACTCAGTGTACTAATATCTGACATCATCTCCCGAGGTCACTGACAACTTTGACCTTTATTCTCATGCACAGTTTCTGTAGTCTCAGAAGCTCTTTTGAATTGATTTGAAATTTTGACTCTTCCCTTTATGAGGCAGTAAAATTGATAATTATTCAGATGGGAACTGAGCACTGAGTGAAAAATCAATTCCACCCGCTCTCTGCTGCGTATAAAATTACTTCTGAGTCTGCTGGACTGAACGGATGGTCAAGGTAAAAGCAGCAGGCAGAAATAGTAGAGAGGATTAGCTGGACGAAACTAATAGCCTAAAGGGATGGCTTTTGAGATGAGGGAGTGGGCCGGTTGGGGGTTATTATCAGCAATGATGGAACTCATTGATCATATGTTTACATCAGGTTTCCATTGGGTTATAAATCAGCCCTGAATAGAAACAGAACCCAAGGCCTCGCATTTTACCAGGGGGACGGTGTATTAGATTATTCTCACTTTCACACTCAGATGAAAAGTGAGACATTGATTATTCATCGGCTGGCCATTAAACACTGGGTTTATAGATGATTTGACTATCATGGAAGCTAATGAACAAGGTTGCTGCTTCACAACCAGCGGTTTCAGTTTTCAAGACATCTGTGTCGGTTAAGTAATGCATAACCCTATTAAAAGGAATGGGTTACAAATTGCTTAACAGTGCTGAAAAACTAGACCCTAATGACTAATTGTGCTTTGAGTTTAGAGAGGTTTGTCAGCTCTTTAAACTAAACTGATGCAACGATAACTGCAATTATTTACTAGTTAGAACATTTCTTCCAAGTTGGATCTCTGGAAGTCATTGGGTAATGACAATTTCCAGCAGCCTCAGCTCGAGATGCTCGCTGTGGAGCTACAGGCCGGTCACTGAGAAATGAGGCGATTCGGCGTCGGGGCAAGAGGCCCCAACTGCAGCCCTCATCTCCCTGAGCCTCTGGAGTAGCAGAGTTGTATCATTAAACCCTATTAATTCTCACTTTGCTTGCTTACACATATCCTGTAGCAGCTCTGGTTTTTTAATAGGTTGATGTGACTGTGCAAAGGCAGGAGCAACAGAAACATTAGAAGTAAAACAATTTCTTAACGTTTAGGAGCAAGTCATGGCATCCTTTTAAAGCATGACAGTGGCTGTTGGCTTTGGCCTTAGTTTTTGCTGTGCCACAGGCTTTGTTGCCCCAGGCAAGCTACTTAGTCTGAGCTTAATTTGCAAACAACTGCTTTGTGATGGTGTCTTACAACTAAACTGAATTAACATGTAAAGTAGTTTGAGAGATATGGATGGAAAGCGATTCTGTTTATTATATTCAGCTATTGCTGTTACATTATGTTGTGTCAGAAACAGGCAGTTTAATAAATAGTTTTAAAAGGCTCCTACTTTTCTGTGCTGTTACTCTGGGATTAACAGATAAAGCCAGTGTTTGCTCCGTTTGATAAATGAAAGTGTAATTTTTGGTTTTAAGATGCTACCTTTATCTGCTTGTTAATGCTTATCTTGCTGAATTGTACACATTAGGCTGTTAGGTCAATTTTGGGGTGGTAAAGTGCTATTCATGTTAGTTCTTTCCAAAAATCAATCAGTTTTGTAGCATCTTTCACCCATAGTTCTGACAAACCTTCCTAAGAGCCATGCATGATAGGTAAAGAACACTGTGTAGCCATCGCTGAAATGATTCTTTGCTGAATGTGGAAGGGGATGGCTGGTTGGTTGGATAGAAACTGGATTTCAGGTGGCATTTTGGCGTTCACTTCCTTTCCTGCGAGAGGTTTGTTGCGTGAAGGGGTAACAACTGAGGCAGGGTATTGCGTGGTGATGACATTCTGTGTGTCATTCTCAGGAGGCCGGTGTGGGTAAGAGTAAGGAGGGGGTCTGGGTGAGTTTGGATGTTGTACCCATGTGTGCATTAGACATGCCCCAAGGCGGAGTGTGCAGCTGGCACAGCCTCGGAGCCGCTGGTGTCAGGGCGGTGGTGAGCGCGGCCGGGCCGGGCCTGCCCAGTGGTGGCACAGCACGCCAGGAGCCACTGCGTCCATCCCTCCTGGATGTGGTCAGGCCAGCTGGCTGCCAGCAGGTCCCAGGTGGGCCCACAGCAGGGGACGGGTCTGGTGGAGGGTTTTTTTAGGGCTGGATGGCCATAGGACGAGGCTGTGACTGCGCTGAGCCCTCCTGAGGGTTCAGCGTTTCTGGGGGCAAGGGTTAGGGAATGCCAGAATAGGGCAAAATTGGCAGGGATATGGGGAGAGTTGGAGTTTATTGCTGTAGGGGAACATGGAGGAGTCTGTGGGCAGGAGAGGGTTCTCCAGGAAGGGAGCATTGCAGTGGGTAGATGAGGAGTTAGATGATGAGCAAAGAGCTTTGAGGACATACGTGATGATGGTGCTGAGAAAGGGAGCAGGGATGGAGTGGGCAGTGCCGTGGTAGTAGGAGGGTGTGTGGCGTACCAGTGACAGGTGAAAACCCACTGAGCTGCTCACTGGAGCTGAGTGCTGGGGACTTAGAACTTCACCGAGTGATTAAGATGCACTGAATAACACAGCACAGCAGCACCATGTAGCAAATGTAAAACAGAAAGTAATGGTGCTGGTTGCAGTGAGAAATCAAGTGACATTACCAAATTACTACTTCTCTTTTTTCCCTTTCATGCAGTAAAACCAGTGATGGTTTTGTTTTTCAGATAAACCTCAGTGCCATATACAGCTAGTGTGGAGTTATGCACAGTCATTGAAATAAAAACCCAAAAAAGAGAGGTGTTTATAATGCGTGCTTCAGGGCCCTGCAGAAGCACTTGCATACAAGCACAATACAAAAGAGAAATGTGAATTGCACTAGCAGAGGGCAGTTGTGCAGGATGTTGAGTACCTGGGCACTTTGAGCCATGTATGTCAGCATATGATTAATTCTGAGAGCAGCTCAAACCCACAGGTGTTGTTGTTCTTATGCTTAAAATGAAACGCGTAAAGGCTCAGCTTGAATCCAAACAAGAGTGCTCAGTTTTTGCCAGCTTGAGCCTTGAAAGGTTTGATAAGCAGTGAGAGGGGTTTTTATTGGGACATCTGTTTTCAGCCTCTTAGCACAATTTAAAAATGTTATCCAATACTATCATAACTTTCTTTATTAATTGAAAGGGATGGAGATATACCAGCTGTAGCCCAAGCCAGCAGAGACTTGGGTGGCTAAGCAACAGAAAAGGCACCATATTGAGTGAGCCAAAATTCAGTCTCAAATTCATTTATTTTAACCAGTGACAATACGCTTAGACTCTAGTCTTTCAATTTGATTGATGGTTTAATATCATATATAATTTTTTTAATGAAGGGAACCCATTTAAGTATGTTAACATTTGCACTAGTAGTCTCCCATGTACATAACTGCATTTAATCATTACTCTGATTGTTTTTGCAGTTGTGTAATTTGTATCAGCAAAGTAACGATGTCAAACCCATCTTATCTTAATGAAAAATATGGTTACTTCTCTTTTACACATACTTCTTATTGCACGTGTATAAAGGCAGCAGCAGCCTCAGTCCCAAGTATATTGCTAAATGTATAGCTGTCACTGCATGAGTGCTGTCAATTAAG